CCAAATACCATTTGTAATAACTATAAAAGCTTTACAAAATAGCATAACTCTGCTGAGTAATATAACACCCACTAAGCCAATAAGATGTCTATTAATCAAACTTAAGACATGCCTTATCGGGTAAACAGGTCCACCATTACACCACCTTCACCTCACAGATAAGAGTCCCCACCCATCAGTTTCCCGCCCACTAGTTTTTGGTAAACTTTGTTACATGCCATCTCATTTCAGAGGTTTATTATCTCAAAGACACTTGCTATGTCAGTCACTTTCCCCGTTGAGAAAAACAAGTACCTTTAAATGTTAAAAGCAAGACTTGCTTTCCATTTAGAGACCACCATAAAGAATTCTTATAAGCAAATATTTCACCTGTATGCAAACCCTATACCCATTTATGATTCTTTCATTATATATTAGGAAATGTCCCCCTAAGTCAGTGCCACTATCAGGACAAATCCTACACTAATATATCTCCTGTGATGGTTAGAAATAAAGGAAACAATGTGCATTGGCCAATTTTTCTTAAGGTCTGTTTTCTTTTCTTTCTTTCTGTTTTTCAGAATGCCCTGCATACACGTAATAAGTCACCTTCTTCACAATTTATACTTAATCCAGAAATAAAGTCCAGTTCATGTTAAGGAGCTATTTGTCTCACCATCAACACAGTAGCAGACAGCACTCAAGTGACACTGTTGCATAGGAAAATTTATGTCTAGAGAGGCCACAACAGGTATAATTAGTGAAAGGAATGTTTGCGCTGACAGTAGCCTTGGCTTGTGTAAAGGCATAACTAACACCAAAAGAGATTGCACATCTTTTTTCCCTTGCAATGATTTTAGCATTTCTATTGCAATTAGGCCAAAAAAATTCTTGCCTGAAACGAACTGATCAGTCAATGAGCACTCCTGCTTATGACAACTCAGGAACCCAATGCCATGATCTTTAACTAGCAATTAAACAACAGATTTTTTCAAATGGAAATAAAAATGCAACTGTACATCTTTCAGCTGATTCCTATATATATATTATATTATGTATCATTATGCTTCAAACTAGGCCAAACTGTGTGCAAATTATGCATCTCTATAACAGTGACCCCTATCTGTCGCAAGGTCTTCCATGACAGATTGCATCATAATATAGGCCCACTAGAAGACTGTGTGCAGCAAAGCATGGATTTTACATCTATCCAGGGTTGTTTTTTTCACTCATGGACAAAATTACTGGAGGGGGCTTAGGTATAATATAACTTCCACTTGTGAATAAACAAGCACTTGCTGGTTTTTCTTTCCTTTTTTCTTTATTTTTTATTCTTTGTTCATTTTTTTTTATACAAATGTTGACAAGCAACCAGAGTGATGCTTTATTTTACATTTTTAAAAGGAAAGAGAAGTTATAAAAAGCATTAATTAACAGCTCTTGTAAATCTCAAAGACAATCTTTTAAGATTTACCAGGGAATTATATAGTAGACTATATAATTCCCTGGATTTACACAGCCTCAAAAAACTTTTTGACAGCAAATTTGCAGGTGTAAATAAATTATCAAATTTCAAGACAAGAATGGAAGTGGTCTTTTATTTTGCCACAAGTTTTCCTTACCCATTTTCCAATACAGTCATACAGATGACTTCTCGCACTCCTGGATTTGCAATCTTGTTCAAGCAGCAAGACAGGACATTCCAGCTTCCAATGCGGACAACAGGACGTCCATCTTTCTGGAAATCAAAGGGCTCTTCTACCCGTGGTCTAGGGGTCACTTCTGTGAGAGCTGGGAATAGCAGACCCAGGTCAAGTCCACCCCCTCCCCCCGTCTCTTCAAGTTTGACTGCGTCCATTTTAACAATGGTCTCCTCAGGAGCTGATGACTGCTTATGGTCAGCTTGACCATCTGCTGTGGCCACTCCCCCTTGTCCTCCAGTTGGTGACGTAGCAGGGGCATCAGCAGTCTGTTTAAAAAGGCAATTCCCCATTTTTGCAAGGTCTTAGTAACCAAAATTTTGAGACAAATATCTTTTATGCGCTGACCATGAAAGAGCTCAAGATTTTTTCAACCCAATCAGTTACTATATAAGAGTGTATGTGTGACTGGGAAAATTATAATCAGATACTCGGCACACTCATATAAAATACAATTAGTAACCAGTGGCCAATTTTAATGGCCTCAGTCAGGCCGGTGAGTAATATATCTTGCTGGCTAAGTGTGGGAGATGGACGCAGCTGATAAGTCCAAACCTGCAATTATGAATAGGAGTATAAGGTATTTTCAAAAGTAACCATATGTTTTATGTTTTATGTGATCGACTTTGGCATTTAAGTTGGAGTCGTTTCAATTTAGCCACAACATGATTATCTAGTCAGACAGAACACACAACCATCACAAGTGATATGATAAGGGTTTAAAAAGGATCATTTAAATGTTAAATACAGTACAATGATACATGCATAAAGAATTTATCTACATCAAAGTCTATTAAGTAGTAATCAGATGTTAGGTAAAGCTGATAAAATGAAATTGATCGTGGATTCTTGTCATAAAATTTATTAAAAAATTCAAATATAACAAACAAAGAAGCAGTAGAGTATTAGTTACTTTAGATTTGACAGAGTTAGTCGCCGGCCGGCCAAAATAATACCCCTTAATTGCTTCATGGAATTACAACTTGTTTTAAAAGTTATCAAACATGGTGAAATTCTGCACATAATGCTGATTCCGCTAATGAGTGGTTTTTAAATCATGAGAGGCCATTAACAGGCAGTACATTTCTTTACAAACATACCGTTTTACTAGGGAATTCACCACACCCGCCTTACTATGGATAAAAACTAACTTCCGGAACTTCATAGAACGCCAAGACAAGCCGAATCCCCACTAGTTTTCTGCATGTATGACTATATTCATTTTTATGATTTCAAAATTTTCTCTTTTTGAAAATATTGAATGACGTTTTAGAAATAGTATAAATTTAAATATGTTTGATCTTAGTTCAACATTATCATGGCCAGTGAAGAAAATTGAAAATGGTCCATATTAATGCTTGAAAAATATTTTTCAAATACAAATATCATTGTAAAATCATTTATTTTCAATACAGGACATATGTGCATTGAATCAGCCCTAATACATGGCAATGTGAGAGGTTAACCACATACAAACAGTCTTTTTATTGCAGTCTTCTTAATAAATCTTAATAAATCTTGTGAACAGGTCTACTTATAGCGCTTTTTACATTTTGAACAGCGATAATTCTGTAGCTATTATTTCTGTCAAATTCTACGATCAGCCCATTGCTGAACACTAAAAAGTGCTTTTCGAACCCTGACAACAGAACTTACTCTCCCCTACTACTACTACTACTACTACTACTACTACTACCACTACTAATACTCTGTTGACATTAGTGATGCATGAAAACATTTGGTGGGCAATGGCATGCCTATCAATGCGTTTATTTTCTAATATGTAATTTGTTTCTTTATAAGAAACAAGAAGCTTTGATAACATCAGCATCATTTTCAAATGACAAATTTCACTAAGTGCTATCTTCCAACTAGTCCTTAGTGGCAAGACAGTGTTTTTTCTCTCTCTGTACTGAAAAAGATGCAACACATACCACTGTCACAGAAATTTTTCCACAGCAGTAAATGTTTCATCTAGTATGCATCACTGTTGTCATCATTGTCAAATAACATCTCCTCTAATTAGTAAATCTAGGAATTGTCACAGAAAATAAATGACCTAATACCTGTACAGTGTAACCAACCACTGCCTTACATCAACAACCTCAATAGGAGGCTCATCTTTAAAAATCTTCTAGGACAGTACTAGTGTACGAGGGCGTTCAGAACGAGGCGATCTGTGGACTAGCAGATCCACCTATCAAATATGGCTGACCAGGGGCGGATCTAGAGCTATTTTCTGACAGTCTTCCAAATTATCTTCGTCGGTCCATCCTCCATTTTGACCATCTTCCGACAGAAAAAATTAGATTCCCGTCAATGTAAACTTTAAAATCTGACTGTCTTCTGGAAGACCCAAAAGAAGGCCTAAATCCACCCCTGCTGACCCACATAAAAGCAGAGCCAACTCATTTGCCGTTTTCTCCCCCTATGCACACTCCTTTAAATGGATTGAATCACGTCTCCAGGGTTTAATTGCTAGACCCCTGCGGGGACGGCGTGTGTGGGGGGGGGGGGGGGGGGAGACCAATGCGGTTGGCCATATTTGATCCACAGATCTGTTAGTCCCCAGACCAACTCGTTCTGAATGGCCTCTAAAATATCAATGCCTTACATCAACATGACTTCAGTCTGAAGCTTCTTTTCACAATCTGTTAGAACCTTCTTTATTAAAAGCCAACAGACATATGTAGAATGACAGAAATTGTAGCCTTTTGGGACAGTATATTTTGGAAAGTGTCATCCTAAACTGAGCATTTGCATTGGTAAAGAAGCTGACTTAAAAGTATTTATACAAGTAGCACCCGATAAAAACCTATTCCAGTGTGAATATGTTGATTCTGAAGGTATCTAGTTTGAACAAAGTTGCATTGTTGTTGCTTAAATTGATAAATAATAACAATATACGACCAATAATTGTGCTTTATACGTGTATAATTCTCATTAAGATACAAAGCTACATGGAACTAATCAACAAACATGTCAGATCCATCATTTTCTACAAAAATTAAAAATATACCTTATTTTAAATATCATAATATTTTGAGTTTCCTACAGAGTGGACCCATGCCATTTGTTTTTCAATCAATACAGATCAAAGTTCAGCAAGAAAATGGATAAAAATCTTCAGAATTGTTGCAAAAAAAGTAAATCATGCAAAGGCACTAAAAGCATGGTGGGTGTTGAACAAACACATACACAAATGTTTTCTTTATCTTTGTATTAAATTATGTATAATGATCAAACTAAACATACCATCATGGTATGTTATGTCAAAAAGTTTTCTAATACACGAGTAGCATGGTGCAGCATGAACAACAGTAGATATTTTTTTTTACTCACTCTCCCAGCTTCTCTCAATAACTGTGCTGTACCAGTTAATCTAATGAGTATTGCTGATGACTTCAATATTGCTTTCTGCAATGAAGTTTTAAAGGTGGGCAAATAATCACATAGTTGCACAAAGACAAATGGGATTCAACCATACAATAAGAGAAACTTCATTAAGAAACAACTCTTTCTGGCTTTTTTCTTCACAGGCAATTAAATTAGTGTTATTCCAAAGCTTATTAAAGAAACACTGGCCTTCATAAAAAAAACATTCTTCAGACCCTAGTTGCGCACTGTAGATAAAATTCCCTGACATTACTTTTCACTTAGCACTTGACAATAAGTCCCATGGCATACTGACAGATATAGATGACCAGGGTCCAGCTTCCTTAGCTTATGGCTTCTCATTGCACGGGTAATTCTAGCAAATGGCTATCTAAATACTAGACTTCTATCTTTAACTAACAGTGACTTCCTGACATGGGCCACTAGCAAATTTAAATCTAATATATAAGTACAATCCTTCACAAACACTGACCTCCTGAATTCAAACCTAGTCTGGTATTTAGCCTTTCAACTGCATGTTAACCAAGACGTACATGGAATTTAAATCCAAATTTTACACGAACTCCAGTGCTTTAGCTTTCCGTTATTTGACCTCTTTGTTACTCACAAAATCATACACACTTTCAGAAATTATGATTCAGCATTTTTTCTGAATTACTAAGAAAATTTTGCCTAGAAGAAATGTATCTTTAAAGTGAGTTTTGTTTGAAATAAATAAGTTTTTACTTACTGTGCTGCTAAATCTACCACTGTTGCTTTTAAGTATAGAACAGTTCAAGTAATGTTAAATGTATGTTGTATCTAACAAGTGTCTTTTAAATTGGTCTCCAGGCTCATACCATTATTTTGTACCAAAATTTCAACAAGTGCCCGAAATAATATTTTATCGACCATTTGTTTGGTTTATTTGCTCAATTTTTGAAGAAATCATGACAGAATTTTGTGAAAAGAGTGTCTTCTGTTTAAAACCAAAATGGCACTAGTATGACTCCAACATCTCTCTTTTCATATATAGTTTTAGAGGCCAAATACAGCGATACAGTCAGTCAAACTAAAAACTACATTTCTGTGCAAAATATATTTCTGCCATCTAAAACTTCAAGGTCCAAGGTTGTAAATTCCAAATCTAATATTGGACAGTAGTTGGCGACAATTTTACAGCAACCAGCAATTTTGGATCCTGAAAGTCCAGTTTTTCTGTCCACATAGAACTCAACCTTGATCGGTCAGTGGTTATCAGTTTTGGATCCTCAAAGTCCAACTCTTCTGTCCATGTGAAATTCAGCCTTTAATGGGCTGTTGTCATTGAAAATCTTTTGGTGACTGGCCATCCTCATGATCCTCCTCCTCCTCCTCATGATCCTCCTCCTCTTCCTCATGATCCTCCTCCTCCTCCTCATGATCCTCCTCCTCTTCCTCCTCATCATCATCATCTCTCTATCAAATCTACATCTTCCAGACCCACACTACTGTCTGTATAAAATTCTGCCCAGACTGGACAGTGGTCAGTGGCAAGACCGCCCCAGGCCCAGCCATTGGGGATCCACACACTGGTCAAACCCTCTCTGACCACCTTAGAGTGACCTGTGGAGAAAAAAAAATTGTTTATAATCTAAAATCATGTAAATCAAGGTTTTGCCTCTCTTCATATACAGGGGCGGATCCAGAGCTATTTTCTGACAGTCTTCCAAATCACCTTTGTTGACCCATCCTCCATTTCTGACTGCCTTCCGACAGAAAAAAATTAGATAACCACCAATGTAAATTGAAAATCTGACTGTCTTCCGGAAGACCCAGAAGACTGCCTCAATCCGCCCCTGATATACACATCATTTTGATATTTAATTCTCTTTTTTTGTCTGAAATTTTCTTTCTTGTACCAAATAAAGTCAGTACCATAGTACCAGTAGATCTAATTTCAATAGAAGCACTAGGGTACAAAAGAAATCGCCTCAACTTCCAGCTTAGCACTAAATTTCATGCGATAGCACTCCTATATTGACGGTTCTGATATATAATGGCCATCAATAGGAGTGCTAAAGCATTCATTCTTGTGCTACTTCAGCTATATCTGCACATCAAAACACCTTTCTAAAAAAGTATAGGGGTGGGCAGGGGCAGGGGCCATCGGGGAGGGGGAGGGGAGGACCTCTACTCAACATCCACCCCCTCCTGCATTCCCCAAATACCACGAAAAGATTATTCAAATTCTCACCTGTGTAGCCAGCCTGTGCCTGCTTGCTGAGCCAGATGTTGTCACAGGTGGCAGCACCTGTCATGTTCTCCAGGCTGATATCAGTAAAGCACCCCTCTGCCACTGTGTGGACATATCCATTGTCTTTTAACAAGGAGAATTCTGAAATCCAATTCATGTAGATATTTGTCAGATACCCTGATTTTCTGCTGAATGCTATATATACAATCCAATGCTAACATCTGTGTATGAACTTTCTCCAAATGGTGATGATAGTGGATTTTGACTAAAAAAAACAATTTTCCAACTTGAAAAAAAAACACTTGAAAAAAATTTGGCTTGAAAAAAAGAGGAGAAAACATAAATTTGAGCCCATTTACACCTTTAATTTCACATCAGCATCTTCCAACATATTTTTTTCCAAAATTTTTAGTGTCGTAATTGTCAGAATTTTAATTTTTTTATTAACAACTTTCCACGTATGTAAAATAAATACATGACCACCTCACCATGAATTAGACAAGAATTATACACCGTAGTAATAAAAAATTACGTAATGAAGATCCCCTATACCTTTAGCACCAGGTCCCAGATTAAAATTCCCCAGTATTATGACATCCTTTGTTCCAGGGGACTTTTGTTCCAGTGTTTCCAGGATAGATGGCAAAGTAGACATAATCTCAGAGTGTAATCTCGTCTGGTCTGTTGAGCAGGGGTTGTGGACATTAACGGACACCAGGGGGTGCTGCTTTACCTACAAGAAAAAAAAAACAAAGTTATGTGAAACAAAGTTACAGCAGCAAAGTATGTATAATTTTTAACAAAAAGGGCTTTGGATCTGTCATTTTTTAGAAGGCTGTACCTATGTATTCTTTTAGTTTCATTTCCGATGAAAGTTTTTAAAAGTTATAATAATATTTTGGTCCCAGATCTCCAGATTTTTATCCTCTGAGATAAAAGTACTCAGCATACAGCATACATTTTACACACTGAAAACCTCCACAAGCAAGAATAATGCAAAGTTCAATGAACCTCCCCCATAAATGTCATTTGGTCTCAGAAGATTACAAACATGATCAAGATATAAAAAAGCCAATGCATTGATCTCAAACGTTCTTTTCCACTAGTATCGTAATTGCATTTCTGCCTATCTCATCCCCACAGATACCCATTAGTGCCTTCATAGCACAACACTCTGCCAGAGACTAGTTTCCCCAGCAAACAGGGTTAACCGCTGTAATGTGAGACTAAACACAAGTAATATCGCTACTTCAAGCATTACTCACACATTAGCACTGCCAAATGGGAAACAAGTGCTAAATATCTTCAACTTCGGTCTATGGATGCCCATAAGTTAATAGTTTTCACTATCAGACCTAGGCAGATATCATGTTAAAAAAATATGGGTGGATATTTGTTTACATTTACTATTATATATACCCTTTCAACTTTCTTTACATTTAAATATAACCCATAGCTTTTAATACACATACATACATACACACAAAAAATGATATTCAATAAATGAATTACAGCATCAAAGCTTACTTCCTCTTTTTGCTCAAAAAGGAAAATAATTAAGCCACACAATTAGATTAATTTTAATGCACAACAAAACACAAAACCACAAAACATTCAGAACATGGCATTCATCCATTAGTGAAAGCACATAACTATTTCATTTCAAACCAGTCAATATCTTCCCACTTAAACTGCAATGAGTCAGTCAGTTAGCCAACCTGGTCGAGTTGTAAATTTCTATACAACAGAGTGCCAGTTCCAATACACGTGTAAAGACGTTCACTGGCACATTAACTTGTGTGTAAATTGAACACAAGTTGCAAAAATCATCGCTGTGCTCTTGACAGCTGTTAGATGGTCAATAGTTAGGCTTTGTAATGCTAAACAATATATTCTTGAAAATTGGCAAAACTACACATAAAATATATACTGGATTTGGTGGTAACATGTTTTCTCTTATATACTGGTATCCATAAAGTATGGATTGTGTTGAAATAAAATGACATCCAATAAATAATTTTGTTATTCTCATTGTCTTGTTCTAAAATACAATAAATTCTGATGGAATTGGAGGTACTGAAAACAGTGGCAGGTAACTTATGCACACCGGTTATGATATTTTTTTCTAGAAAATGTCCTTCTTTCAGTGGGTATGTGTGCACGCGCGCACGTGTGTGTGTGTGTGCAAGCTCTGGTACATACCTTAAAATGTACCATGAATGGGCAGGTCGCAGAGTTTCCAGTTTGCACGAGTGAGGATCTGACTACCTCAATCTCTTGACTAGCATCATATATAAAGCCCAGGTACTCTTCATCCTGTCAAAATAGAAAATACAGGCAGATACATGAGAAAATGACAAATAAATATACTAGAAAAACATAAGCAAACTTCATTCCACATGTGATTTTACTTTACCCTTGAAATGTAAGATGCAGTCAGAACATTACCCTTTTAATAAATTTATTCTTATAAAATACACACATTTTTTTTTTTACATTATTGGTTCCAATGCTTTTAAATCATGGATAATATGAACACAAAATTACAGTGTTTTCATATATATCTTTTTTTCTCCTCAAAGTATCTTTTAAATACCTGTTCCATGACCAATTATAAACTATCTACTCAGCAGTACATTTTCTATTCACTTTCTGCAAAGAGAATTCCTGACAAATGAAAACCAGCTGAGCAGTATGGATGTCATGATTTAATCTCACAATCTCCATAAACCATTATAAATAGATCATGTCCCACCTTTTGTATAATATCACTTATGCAATTTACATTATTTCCCTTTGTAAAGTCTACCTGAAGGTTAGCAATTGCCACAAAAACAGCAAATCTTCTCCTTTTTCCTATTTTGCCAATTTTCCATCTGAATATTTTTTGAGTTTTGCTCCTGATTATTTTTTTCCTCTTATAATTCAATTTCTGACTGTCAACTCTAACAACAATCAAGCTGTCATATTCCATTCTCTTTGTCTGCAACCAAAGAAATTGGTAACACGAGTATCGCCATCAATATGACCAACCAACATGAACAACACAAAGCAACAGCAAGGTGTCAACAGTTTCGTGCTATGACTTGTTCTAACTTACCAGCGGGAAGTCAATTTTCATCCCAATGAGTGACTGTTTGAAGCTGTCAGAAAGATTTTCTTATGATTCCTACCTGCGGCTTCTATTATGAGGAGTCTGCGAGGAAGCTACGTAATTTTCCTTAACCTCAATATCTTGACAAAGATTAAATTGAACAAGTTCAGAGGTCTCTTTTTACAGGATAAAATAATTTCAGTTCATTTTGACACAGAGCAAATGAACAGAGAGAACATGAGGTCCATTTCACATCATTGTTTACAGTTTGTTTTGATTTGATAGACTTTTCGATATTTTCACACATTTATCCTAAAAGTAAACAATTTTTTTAAACTAGATCATTTTCTAAAACAGAGCTCCTGTCATCATGACATCACTATGCGACTAACACGAATGTTCAAGTTATTAAGTAATCCAAAGGCTGGACAATTAGCAAATTTTCATCAAATTTTTTAATCAGAAGTCAATTCAGTGTAACAGGGCCAAGCATGCCACGTACAACATGGTGGGTCTACACCCAGCTTTTATTACGGAGGGCTCTTAAAACACAACTGATTAAATTACATAGCTTGGTGATGTATTTTAGCCATGAAAAGTTCTCATTATAAAGCATATTCAATTCTGTGTAGGTATGGAGATGAATGTGTGTGCACTCACATGCAGGGGCATGTCAGGGGCAGATTCATGGGTATTTTCTGACAGTCTTCCAAATTATCTTTGTTGAAACATCCTCCATTTCTGACCATCTTCCCACATAAAAAAAAATTAGACGCCGGTCAATGTAAACTTGAAAAATTCGAGCTGTCTTCCAGAAGACCAAGAAGATAGCTTCCGTCCGCCCCTGCATGAGCAAATGTTTACAACTGTCCATGTATTACCTGTCCTGAGTTATGTGACATCAGATAGCGCCACTGTCCCCTATGTCCTGTCCACTTCTTGACGTGAGGTATCAGCGGTGTGTTGAGCTCCTCGCAGATCTGGAACATGAACAGTGCAGAGAACTGAACAAATCGTGGCTTACTGAGGTCCTGATATAAGTATTCTTATTGTTAATGGCTTTTGCAGACCCAATACCACGTGAGAGAGAGAGAGAGAGAGAGAGAGAGGGAGGGAGGGAGGAGGGGAGATTGAGAGAGAGTTTATCACTTGTCTTTGTATGAATGGATGTTAGTTATTACACATAATCCCATTATTATTACATTATAAACCCTAAAATCCCACATCTAAAATTTTTCACTCCCAATTTACCTTGTTCAGAGCTTGAGAATCTGCAAGGTCTTGAAAGGCAATGATGCTCAACCTGGAAACACAAACAACGCATCAGGATATTTTTCTTACACAAATCATATTATCATACAATCCAAAATAGACTTAATTAAGGACTGAAATATCCAAAAAGTGTACTTCAATTTTCTCACTGGTTATCTTATAATCTTCATAAACCTACTATCAAACTGCTCACAGTAGGTGATAAAGAATTTCTTGTGCTATCTTTTTGTATATCTATTTATCTAATGTAACAGAGAATTACTAATATTAGAATCTAAATAGTGCAGTTTCTTCAATGTTCTCATTGTATGCACTTAAAAGTTGGTATTTTGCAAAAAATACTAAAGTGTGGTTGAAACTGTAAGTCTACATAGAACTAAGCTGGGATTCTTGCTGAATGCAACCAGTGTAACAGATTAACATACCTCCTCCAGGCATTCAATAGATTACAGAAAATCTGCTGATTATACAAGTATATCAGAAATGAGGTGTTTTAATCAGTTAAACTGATTGCAATCAGCGAGATTTGGATCGCTCTACACACATGAACAATAGTTTTAATGGGAATGAGCCTTTGCAGATATACTATGCCCTCGCTGGATGTAAGAATTTAGCACACGAGATTCCGTTTTTTACATATATGTATATTAATCTCACATTCTGGCAATATACTATGCAGATACCTAACACAGTGATGACCTATAAGAAACTCAATGCACCAAAAATAAAAACCAATTTGGTAAGTGAGGCCTCCTTTGCATGGCCATGCAACTGCTGTCAGGAATTCCACAAACATAAGATATAATCATGGCACAGTAACATCATTATGGTGTGTCACAGGAAATTGAGGTAGTTAGTCTTAGCAATTATAAAAACAGATCCATCAAGAATATTACAGTATAATATGATCCATCTCTTGTCTCTTGTATGACTTTCGCCAAATTCAGAAAAAATATCATTCAGACAATTTTTAAAAAACTGTATGGATATGATTGCTTTATTTTTCACACTCAACCATTCATTTGACAAAAAAAATTTGGTAAAATGACAAAAACAAAATGCTTTAATGGCCTTGTGGAGTCCACTCCTTCCAGTTGACAATTTACATAACTCAAGAAAAATATAAGGTCTCTGGTTGTCCTCATATACTGACTTGTTTACACATACAGGGGTACATTCAAACCACAAATATGGCAAATATACGTTCCAACATAGATAGCCCTTCAGGCGGGTCATATATTTTAACGTTTCATAGCCACAACACCAACCCATTACTAGTCTAATAGTAACAGCACGACTGCTGTTATCTATAAAATAATGTGTTTTGGATAGATTGTTGATATGATATTTCAAAGACAAAAAAATTTACTATATATATATGAAGAAAACCTTTCATGTGGAAGGAGTCAGTGGACATTTTTGAGGTGAATTCATACGCACATAGTGACGTCTAAACGCCAGGTGTAAAAGGATGTACGTTGATTACATACGCACTCCAGCACGCACACATGCATGCAAATACAAAAGCTATTTTTGAGGTGTCTTTTGACGCATACTATCATAGCTCAAAGCTAGAGACCAACAGCAAAACATTTTATACAGAATATTCTCCCTTATGAATGCAGTTATTTTTATCTCATTTTTGATACAAGTTCAGCAATAATTGTTGTTGCAGTTCAAGACAATAGTGACTTTACAAAATCATTCATTATCTTATTGGTGGACATATAATACCTAGGATGGCATTTCAGTGTGAGAAAACAACCACTCTAAAAGATTAATGCAATTATCAGCTATTAAAGAAAGAAAGAAAGAAAGAAAGAAAGAAAGAAAGAAAGAAAGAAAAAACACATGAAATGAAATATCTACAAAAGCAGGAAAATCTGCAAGTCTGCCTGACCAAAAATTTTCAGATAGTAAAGCTCACTCTCAACAAATATATTCATGGAATATGTGAGGTCATTAACTCTAAGTATTATCACCTAATCTACATCTATGATTAACAACAGGCCGTGAAGCAGGAGGGATTGGGGGGGGGGGGGGGGGCAGGGCAGGGCAGGGCAGGGCAGGTAAGGAGTTCAAAAGTACTGCACTTTTGGCCAGAAAAAGTACACTCTGAAATCAACTATAATTTCTGTGTCATTCCTCATATTGGGTCAAATAAAGGGGATTGGGGGGGGGGGGGGTCACTATTTCAACAATAAATAACCCTGTTGACATTACTGGCCACAGGCAACAACAATGTGATCTGTGGATGTGAAGCAGTTTTTAGTAAGAAAGAAAAGGATGGGAGATAGGTTAGCCAGTATGAAAATATCGGAAAGAAAATGACCTGAATGACAAGCTTTAAATCAATATCCTGATCAGCATATCTCTGCAGCAAATCTAAGTGAATAATTGAATATTAACATTGAGGAAAAGTGAATTCCAATAATATAAATAAACATAAGAGGATAACGCTGAGGGAATAGGATAAATATAATGACAAGAAGATGATTCATATAAGATATGATCAAACCAGACCTTGCGTGTAAACACCAACTTATCACAGCCTTGGGGAGAACAACTCTCGCTGACACTTTATCATTTGCCATTTCAGAATGAAAAAAAATGGTGGAAAAATAGATTTAGTATCACCTACACAAAGTGTACAAACAAGTTCTCTTCTAGAGCTTTTAGAGCATTTTTACAGTACTAGTAAACAATTGAGTCAGAATATGTTTGGTATTTAGTAAAAGCTGATATTCATCAGGTTAAAAAAAGATCATCAACAAGATATCGAGTTGTAAAACCTCCTTTACATTGGACCACATCCTTTCTGTGTCCTTTGCCAGACCATGAAACTGGCATCGCTGTAGTCGTAGAAAAAAAGCACAAGCATCACTTTGGTTGCAGAAAGAATGCTCAATGATTGGCCAGTTGTCAGCACGTAATTTCTTTTTTTTCTCTGAAACGGGGCCTATTACAGAACACAGAAAGGATGCCATCCAGTGTAAAGGGAGCTTAGACTAGTAGTAAGAAAGACTTAGTAATGAATGGGTGCTGCTATGGTGGCTGGGACATTGGCATAAACAGAATTATAACTCTCAAAATACGATGTCCTGCTGTGAACTATGTCATGACTAACAGAGTAAGTCCCAAAACCAAAGAAAATTCCCAGTTAAAATGTGAAGAATACATAAGTATCAGAACTATACACAGAGCTGAAAAACTAGACTAGTAGAGGAAGATTCCCATCTGCAAATTTACTTTGAAACTGTTGACCAATTTAAGTACAACGTCTAATAAATCTCAAGTTAAATTTTCTAGTATGTAAAACAAATGTTAGCTTTGAAATTGCACAACACATATTTAGGAGGTTGTTGGTGAGCAGGAGAGAGGTTGCAAGTTCACATATTTGTCACTTGACAACTGTGTCTGAAATGCGGTTAGTAAATGACCTATCTACGTAACTTTCAATCCTGCCTTTAGACTATGGACGCACTACCTGCCTTTGACTTCTAGACCATGTTATCTACTTGTACAGGTAAAGCAATTAGCGCATAGCTCCAGGTATTAATAGCACCTGACCAGGTGAACGGAGGATTAAGGAATCAATCTAATCTTTGTGCCTAGACACTTGGGCATTGCAGCAGATTTATTACATTGTGTTCGATAACAAAGTAAATGCTGTCCATCCCGTGGTAAAACCATGGATGAAACACTTGACCAGTACTTGACCAGCCATAAAAATGAGAAATCAAGGAAGGCACTATGATGTAATAAATGCAATATAACACCCCATTTCCATAGATTTTTAGATCGATCTATCCCTGTGGGGAGTCTCACTAGATTACTAGTACTGTCAGCTTGGCCAGCTTAAGCGTCTGTCCCGCCTACTAAAAGCTGTAAGGTGGTAATTAACTATGGTGTCCGCTCGGCTGACTGCAATTTAGCCTGAACCCCCAGGGAGTTAGGTCGATCTAAAACTTAATCTTTAGATCGATCTAAATCTCTGGGAAAGCACCCTAAGTAGCAGAGATGAATTGAAATACACAAGTGGTTAATGCATGTGGATTTTATATGCATGCACTAATGACTCAATCTTTTTCAATGGGCAAAATGATCAAACTTTCAGATACATAATTTAAATCACAAAACTATATTTCTATACAACATTTGTGGTGCTTTTACTGCAAAGAACAGAACTATAGAGTAGCCTGCTTTTTAATTTTGTTGCTACCACTCAATAAGAATGTTTTAATTAAAAAAAAAATGACTTGAAAAATACAGTCTCCCTAAAATGCACCTGCTGAAAAGATCGAGTAATTACTGTATTTCAAGTCACACTATGCCAGTCTATGGAGAGCCGCAGCCGATGTTGAACCACAGATAGGAGAAATATATTATAGGGCACAGCGAGGGGTAGAAGGCAGTCAAATGTGACGCCGTGTTTGTATGCACGTTATAATGTCTGGGACTTTTTGATCTCAAAGTCATCTGCGATATAAATAAAATAACTTAAAAAAGGTACCCAGAGCTCTAACATATGAGGAATTGCACGCTAGTATAAATTTCACCAAAGAAATGAAGCTAGAAGTAAAAAGGGATACTGCTCATTATTGTATTTTGTATGTTTGTGTTCAAAAAGCAGCATCTTGCTGACTTAGAAGGCAGGTGAAATACTGATGAAATACTTGACCAAACATGAAAAATGAGAAATCATGAAAAGTACCAAAGGGTAGAAAAATCTGGCTTATACTGCTTATCATAGAAGACCTGGACCCCGTTTAAAAACATTGTCAAAAGAAAAGAAAATTTAAGATCCACAACAGGGCTATGATAATAAAACATAAATAAATGCACCGCTAAATTGATCCAGACAGGATCAACCATACTATGACAAAAAAAAATGATAAAAATGGATTCCTCCTGGATATGCTCCATCCACCAGTTAGATAACATATAAAAAAATATCAATATTGGCAATACAAATATGTTTTTTTTTTCCCTTCCGGTCGAGAGTGCAAGAACTCCTAGTTGACTGAGTCAATGAACCTAAAGAGCCATTGGGAAAAAAATCTTCATTGATTTCAAATAATCACCTACATGAAGGGCACCCTATCAAAGCATACAGAATGCCTTTAACACAAAGCTGAGAATTTATGACCAGACAGAAAAAAAGACAATTTCAGTTTGAAGAAAGTTATCTATTTTGTTTCTGATGAAGAATTCTCAGGGTTAACAGCTGACTTGATACATATGAAACATATTCTTCTGCCAGTAAGATGATAAAAAAAAGAGACTACTGTCTATTAAAGCCTTGACACCACACATCTAATAAACGTGTCACCTGCTGCTTTAAGACATAGAATAAACACTTACAGTCATTCATTAACCCACACACTCTCCTCCATTCTCCACCATATGCCCACTGTCTCACACTCCACAGATCCATCTCTGGCAGTCCACTCATTCTCCAGTATAGTCACAGCAAAACAGAGTACCCATTCTCCAGTATAGTCACAGCAATACATACCCATTCTCCANACTGACACTTTATCATTTGCCATTTCAGAATGAAAAAAAATGGTGGAAAAATAGATTTAGTATCACCTAGACAAAGTGTACAAACAAGTTCTCTTCTAGAGCTTTTAGAGCATTTTTACAGTACTAGTAAACAAGTGAGTCAGAATATGTTTGGTATTTAGTAAAAGCTGATATTCATCAGGTTAAAAAAAGATCATCAACAAGATATCGAGTTGTAAAACCTCCTTTACATTGGACCACATCCTTTCTGTGTCCTTTGCCAGACCATGAAACTGGCATCGCTGTAGTCGTAGAAAAAAAGCACAAGCATCACTTTGGTTGCAGAAAGAATGCTCAATGATTGGCCAGTTGTCAGCACGTAATTTCTTTTTTTTCTCTGAAACGGGGCCTATTACAGAACACAGAAAGGATGCCATCCAGTGTAAAGGGAGCTAAGACTAGTAAGAAAGACTTAGTAATGAATGGGTGCTGCTATGGTGGCTGGGACATTGGCATAAACAGAATTATAACTCTCAAAATACGATGTCCTGCTGTGAACTATGTCATGACTAACAGAGTAAGTCCCAAAACCAAAGAAAATTCCCAGTTAAAATGTGAAGAATACATAAGTATCAGAACTATACACAGAGCTGAAAAACTAGAGGAAGATTCCCATCTGCAAATTTACTTTGAAACTGTTGACCAGTTTAAGTACAACGTCTAATAAATCTCAAGTTAAATTTTCTAGTATGTAAAACAAATGTTAGCTTTGATATTGCACAACACATATTTAGGAGGTTGTTGGTGAGCAGGAGAGAGGTTGCAAGTTCACATATTTGTCACTTGACAACTGTGTCTGAAATGCGGTAAGTAAATGACCTATCTACGTAACTTTCAATCCTGCCTCTAGACTATGGACGCACTACCTGCCTTTGCCTTCTAGACCATGTAATCTACATGCACAGGTAAAGCAATTAGCGCATAGCTCCAGGTATTAATAGCACCTGACCAGGTGAACAGAGGATTAAGGAATCAATCTAATCTTTGTGCCCAGACACTTGGGCATTGCAGCAGATTTATTACATTGTGTTCGATAACAAAGTAAATGCTGTCCATCCTGTGGTAAAATCATGGATGAAACACTTGACCAGCACTTGACCAGCCATAAAAATGAGAAATCAAGGAAGGTACTATGATGTAATAAATGCAATATAACACCCCATTTCCATAGATTTTTAGATCAATCTATCCGTGGGGAGTCTCACTAGATAACTGTCAGCTTGGCCGGCTTAAGCGTCTGTCCCGCCTACTAAAAGCTGTAAGGTGGTAATTAACTATGGTGTCCGCTCGGCTGACTGCAATTTAGCCTGAACCCCCAGGGAGTTAGGTCGATCTAAATCTCTGGGAAACACCCTAAGTAGCAGAGATGAATTGAAATACGCGAGTGGTTTACGCATGTGGAGTTCACATACACAGGGTAATGACTCAATCTTTTTCAATGGGCAAAAATTATCAAACTTTCAGATACATAATTTATATCACAAAACTATATTTCCATATAACATTTGTGGTGTTTTACTGCAAGGAACAGAACTATAGAGAAGCCTGCTTTTTAATTTTGCTGCTACCACTCAATAAGAATGTTTTAATTTAAAAAATATGACTTGAAAAATACAGATTCCCTAAAATGCACCCGTTGAAAAGATCGAGTAATTACTGTATTTCAAGTCACACTATGCCAGTCTATGGAGAGCCGCAGCCGATGCTGAACCACAGATAGGAGAAATATATTATAGGGCACAGCGAGGGGTGGAAGGCAGTCAAATGTGACGCCGTGTTTGTATGCATGTTACACTATGTCTGGGACTTTTTGATCTCAAAGTCATCTGCGATATAAATAAAATAACTTAAAAAAGGTACCCAGGAGCCCTAACATATGAGGAATTGCACGCTAGTATAAATTTCACCAAAGAAATGAAGCTAGAAGTAAAAAGGGATACTGCTCATTATTGTATTTTGAATGTTCATGTTCAAAAAGCACCAACCTGCAGAGGGGGATGAAATTCCTGAGCAGACAAGAAAAATGAGAAATCATGAAAAGTACCAAAGGGTAGAAAAATCTGGCTAATACTGCTTATCATAGAAGACCTGGACCCCGTTTAAAAACATTGTCAAAAGAAAAGAAAATTTAAGATCCGCAACAGGGCTATGATAATAAAACATAAATAAATGCACCGCTAAATTGATCCAGACAGGATCAACCACACTATGACAAAAAAAATGATAAAAATGTGTTCCTTCTGGATATGCTCCATCCACCAGTAAGATAACATATAAAATATCAATATCGGCAATACAAATATGTTTTTTTTCCTTCCGGTCGAGAGTGCAAGAACTCCTAGTTGACTATGTCAATGAACCTAAAGAGCCATTGGGAAAAAAATCTTCATTGATTTCAAATAATCACCCACATGAAGTGCACCCTATCAAAGCATACAGAATGCCTTTAACACAAAGCTGAGAATTTTATGACCAGACAGAAAAAAGACAATTTCCGTTTGAAGAAAGTTATCTATTTTGTTTCTGATGAAGAATTCTCAGGGTTAACAGCTGACTTGATACATATGAAACATATTCTTCTGCCATTAAGATGATAAAGAAAAGAGACTTCTCTACATAAAGCTTTGACACCATACATCTGACAAACATGTGTCACCTGTCACTTAAAGACACAGAATAAACACTTACACTCATTCATAAACACACACACACACACACACACACACACACACACACAAACACACACCTCTATTCTCCACCATATGCCCACTTTCTCACACTCAGCACATCCCTCTCTGGCAGTCGTCCCGTTCTCCAATATAATCATAATATAACATACCCATTCTGCAGTACAGTCATAATTTAACATACCCATTCTCCANAAGTGGCGTGGGAGAGAAATTGATCGGTGATTTGCCGCTGAGACGCATCCTGATTCTAGAAGTCTGCTCTTCTGCAGGTGTTGGTCTTCTAAGTGATAGCGGGGAAATGCTTGTTTGAGCGAATACAAATCAAGACACAGAAGTGTCAATCTGCTTGCTTGTCATTCTGGAAAGACAACAACAAAAAATCCATTAATACTTGTCGTATATATGTACGTGATAAAATACAATATGCGATAGAAATGGCAAACTTCTAGAATAATCTATCAATCTCTTGTTGCAAAATGCCAATAATGCGATGACAAGAAAGGAGGCAAAATTATCGAATAATCTATCATTCTTTTTATCCTAAACAGCTAAATGCAAATGATCCATTAGAAGCACATCTAATAAGTGGATCCCTGCTAGTGTGAAGAAACAATAAGCCTGAATGTAATAAATATCAAACAAAAGCATAAAGACCATCTTTTAGACATGAAAATCATTTTACTTTAGAACAGAACCAATTTGAAAAGGAAAGAAACTGAGCACATCTGGGCCAAATTTAAAAAAAAATATATAAATCTATGTCCTCTTTCTTTTTTTTTTAAGTTTATCTGAGTACTTAAATTTTTAAAACAAAATAACAGAAAACTATAAACCCTGGGCCTTCAACTATCTTTCACTGGTAAAGCTAATGGACAAGTGAATACATTATTAATGGAAATGTTCACCTTTCAGTCTGGCACTGTCTGCCAGACTATTTATCACGGTAGTAAACAAAATTCCACAAAGTTCATAGTGTCAATGTATAGGTCATGCAAAGGAATATATACGTCATCATACAATAAAAACATTCCTTATTCTCCTATCTGACAACTACTGCCCAGGGAAGAAGAAGGTATAAGATAGGTCAACTTCTCATGTATCATAACTAATAAGCAATTGCAAAAAGCAGGCCTTATAAACGGATTTGGCGTTTACTAACACTACCCGCAGATCTTTTAGCACTAACGCCCATATTAACCCCCTAACCCAGTGCTAGAAGATCTGCGGGTAGTGTTAGTAAACACCTAATCTGTTTATAAGGCCTGTTTTTGCAATATGTTAAAAGCTGCTTGTTAGTCATGATACATGAGAGGTTGACCTATCTTATACCCTCTTCTTCTCTCCCTTTCTCCTTCCCTCTTTCTTTCTCTCCCCCCCCCTCTCTCTCTCTCTTGTTAAACTTAACAAATAGAACCCATCAGCATTTATTCTACTGAATATTTTCTAAAATATTGATAAATGTGAACAAAAAATTACTGAAATAAAAATAAAAAAACTAAACATTTAAATCTGACATTGATTGAAGTGAAATATCATAAAGTATGTCAAAATACACAAACTAATTTTATTTTGGTTTTGTTTTCTGTATCATAAAATGGTGGACAAAGTAGTTAGTTACTGTACATAAATTCAGGAACCATTCGGGGTTTTTTAACAATACTTCTTTATAAATATATCATGTATTCAAAATGAAAGTTTGCGTAAAAATTTCAATTGAGTCATCGCTGTTTCACCTCCTACAATGACTAAGCAAAAGGTTTGATTTTAACAGAAAAGATAAACAACTAATTCATCTTATAAAAACAATGCACCAGTGGAGGAAAAACATTGAGAATAAGCTTACTACAGACTAGAAAGAAATAAACAGGCATCAGCTCGAGTAAACTACCATCTTTCTTTTTAATACCCAACCCCATTTGTATTCTATCCTCAGTTGATATACCACTGGGCACATGTACTTCTCACAGTGAAGATATTTACACCTCAGTCACCGTCTAGTGCTTTGCTATTCTTTATATAAAATGACATATGGAAAGAGTGGCAGAGCACTAGACTGTGGCTTTAGGGTATATTAATTTACTAGACACCACTGAAAGTGAGCTTATCCAAGATTCCACGTCAACTAACTTGCATATATATCAACTATAGGTGCCAGCTTTCACTAACACACACACACACACACACACACACACACACACACACACACAGAGAGAGAGAGAGAGAGAGAGAGAGAGAGAGAGAGAGAGAGAGAGAGAGAGAGAGAGAGGAGGAGGAGAGAGAGAGAGAG